CCATGCATTCATCAATTAGTAAATTAAAGGTGAGAGGTGACATATAAGAAATATGAGGAACAGTAGCTTTAATAGAAATGATTGTTTTCCCTGGGGAAGTATCAAAGATCTTGTTAAAGTAGACAAACAATAACCTATCCTGATCATTACAAAAAGGATGTACTTTATTTTACATTAACAATCACTGTTGCTAATGCTGAACTCATTAAATACTTTTCTGAACAAGTGGTAGATGTCCTCTGATTTGCAAACAATGTAAACATAAGACCAGCTTAAATCAAAATGCTTTATCTGAATTAATAGTTGAATAAACATTCACCAGAACCAAAGATTATAATTCTGGATAACAATATTTGACACCACTGTTATAATATCAAATTTATTTATTCATTTAAAACATGTATTTAGTGGCCCAGCTTCCAACCCATTCTGGACGGCTCCCAACCATTAGCCTAGGACACAATATTGTATCAGCTTCAGTGTGTAAAGAGATGAGATACTAATAGCCATGACAGTAATTTCCTAATGCCTTTTTTGCAAAGACTTTATTCAAGATTGAAAAGAACGATGAACATCTTTTGCCTTTAAAGTCCCTGCAAATACAGCCATTTGCAGGGACTTTGGAACTCTTCTACTCCAGCTCTCTACTCAGTCCACCTTTAGTTGTGTATCCCTTTAAACATCCGCAGTAAACGAAAATTCATCATTTTCCAAAGCAGTCTGCTTCCCTGTTAAAAAGCTCTTATCACTGGTTTCCCCCCCATGGAAATAGATAAGAAATCTATATTCTTATATTTCTTTTTGAAAGATAAATGCCCTTTTCTTCCTAATGTTTATCTATGGATCTTGTGCCTACAAAGTAGCTAAATTAGTCCTTTGCTGGAATAAATATTAGGCATTTCTATTATTTATCGGTGTTTATGTAACAAAGAGACAGAGCCCGAGAGTATCAAAAAACACGTTTTTGTATACCTATTCATTGCTGCCATAAAATGTGTGTGTATGTGTGTGTGTGTGTTTGTGTGAAATCTGCTGACTGCTCCAACCTTCTCTAACTCAGACCATAAAATGAGCCATATGATGAGTGCATTCCTTTTTCCTATGGGCAACCAATATCACAAGCATTTGTGTATTTGTGTGTAGGGTGTAGCTGAAAGTACCTGCTTTTAAAGATAATGTAAGTCTTAAAACTGAATAAATGCTTTTTATTTAAAGCCCCTTCCCTTCCATGTTTGGATTAAGCTTCCTAAGTCCTTGGTACGAGGCTAGTTTCGTTACACAAAAGACTTGGCAAGGGATTACGAAGCTTGTACTGAACTTCCTGTCAAGGGTTAATTGGGAAGCTTTATGTTCCTTTTAAAGACCCAAAATGTTCCCAAGATTTTTTTTTCCAACTGCAATCTGTATAGTCAATTTATGACCTGAAGATTCAAATAACTCAAACTACAATACATAAAAAGAAATACGAATAAATAAACATTACTAGCAGGGTATATAAGCTCAACATTTTAAAATGAATTCTTAACCTTTTTCAAAGAAAATAATAATGAAGATTTGGATTACAGAAAAAAAAACCATCAAATGGGCAAAATAAATCATAAATCTTTCACTGAGGCTTAACGCATATGACACTTTTTAGTCTTTTCTTCTTCATATGCTTTCAGGGAAGATCTCCAGAGAAGATCCCATAGTAGTGCATGCAAGTTACAGAAGGAAAATAAAGAGTCAATTTTCTTCCTGATCTAACCTTCATGTTAAATTCCATTAAAACGAATTGATTGAGGTTGCAGTAGCTGTCAGTAATCCTGTACACCAATGCCTCAGTGATACTAGGAATATTTCCTTGCATTCAGTGAGTTCTGGGCTTCTAAACCTTGCTATACTATTAATATCACTAGAACCTAACCCTAGCAAGACAATTTGGGCTTCATTTTGATTAAATATATGCCAAAATACTACCTATAAAAATTCAGCCTGATGTTTAACTATTCAAAAAAAATGTTTTAGTTTTGATAAGCATGTATTTCTATGATCAGAAAATGAGACAACAGCCTACTCTTTCAAACGATGGGCTTGTTTAGTGTTGTTTCGCCAAGAGTCAAATAGAATAGAAATAATAATAATATAAAAGCCTCCGTGCTAATTTCCAAATCTTCTTTTAAAGAAGTTAGTTTTCAAGACTAATTACTCTAAAATATACAAACGCATTGTTTACTGATAAAACTCAGTAAGTATACAATATGTTATCAATGTGATAATTGCAACGATTGCTTGATAACGTGAATGTGTAAATCTGTTACCACTAGTTATTGCCTGATCAGTTCTCACAGATTACTGCCTCTTAATGTGTCAGCCAATTGCCCATTGAGGGGGGATCCAAATAGGAGGTGATATAGTTGCCCATCTCATGTTCTCACACTATTATTAAATGAAATGTGTGAATTTTTCCCTGATTGAAGCAATAACCTACGAAGTGTTTTACTGAAAAATGTCTTGACATGAGTAGAAATGTAAAACAAAGCGAAATGTGGCTAGAAAACTTGCTCTTTTATGCTACTCCTTCCTTAGTTCAAGACATCAATTTAAAACTTATGGCAAACTTGACATGCTTACTACAGAGAAAGCTGCCGGTTCCAAGAAGACAAAATGGTAACCAATGGCTACAGATGGCCATGGCTGACACTTAGATTCTGAACACATTGCAAGATAAGTTGCTTCCAATTGTGCTGAGGATCAGAGCAGCAGACTGCTGCTTATTTTGCTGCATTCCACAAAACACTCCCCAATGAAAAAGTTTTAAATGCCAGGGAGTGGAAATAGGGCATTCTGCCCATCCTTAGTCCAACACAGGAACTATTCTATTTCCAACTCGCTATTTTCTGCTGACTTCAATGGGAGCAAATTTTATCATCATTTGTAAAGAGTGCCAGTGCTAGTCTGTGGAGGCAAATGAACAAAGGCTCTTTATTCCATTTGTTTGGTTTGTCATAATAAGGTGGGAACCTTTGCTTTGGAAATGGCCCCAATAAGCTCAGTAGGGTTTGTTTTCAAGCAAAACGGACTTAGTCAAAACAACTTGTAGATATTTTTTTTTTTCAAATTCAGACTAGAAGCTCTTACTCTAGAAGAGAACCACTGGGTTAAACTCATGTGGCACTGATCTTTCCAATCCTGTGCTTACTTAAAATAAAATACCTTTACAAAACCCTTTAGTTGGTATCCCAGTAATAATCTTTATTTGTTTTTTGTTTTTTTTGGATACCCTAGCTACTGTCATGGAAATCTAATGTTTTACCACTCCACCATAACCCCTGCATTTTTATAATTAGCTTTGGTTTTACTACTCAGTGAATTTTCGCTATAATTTAGGATGCCCTTTGTTATGTTTCTACTAGCTCAATGCCCGTGCTTCGCTACGAAACTATGTGGTCGGGGTTAGTTTTTGGGGAGGAAAATAAGGGAAAAAAATTCTGCCTCTGCCTACCAGCATCCATCGATAGCCATCTGGCTAGCATCCTGTCAGTGTGTGAGAGAGTTGAGGGCTGTTTGGAAAGTGAAGCACTATTTGCTGTGTGTGAGGGCAAGAAGGAGTCAGCAAGGAGCCTGGGCGTGGCTTAGCTCAACTGTTCTGTACTAAAGCTGCTTGGTGCTGTGAAACTAAAACTGAAACTCCTCTCTTCTGCTGTGTTTTGCATTTGGAACAGATTTCTTTTCAGGTGGGGAGGGGGAGTAGAACTCCTTAGCATCAGAGTGTGTTAAAATCCTTTCTTAGTGAGCACCTAGAAGCCAAGAGGAACGTACGTGCCAAATTTCAAGTTTGTAGGCTTTACAGTTCTGGAGATTTTGTGATGATGCGTGAGTAGTATTTCGCTTATATATATAGAGATTAAGAGTTAACTGAGAGAAAGTTCATATCTCAAGATACTCCATTCTGCTAGTGTGCAGATCCTTGAGAAAGAAGGACCTGATGGTTGAGAGTACTAACTTGCAGAGGATTTATTAACCTTCCTATGATCCTTATCAGATTTTGCATTCCACCGTCTGGCAAGTGTGCAACAAAATATTGAGAAAGAAGGGAACTCCTCCAGAATTTCAAGAGCATTCATTGCTCCTGGAAGACAGAACCCAGAAGACTGGGTTATCCAAACATAAGGATAATGGTATCCATCCTCAAAAATCTTAGTACAACAAGGGCTCATAAGGCAGAGTATCATATCCAATCCAAATATTACCTGATGATAAACTTGTAATATAGTTTCCTTAGTACATTAGATGACAAATCAACCCTGCGCCATCACGAAAATGACACATGAACAAAAAACATTATTCATTTTAATTGTGAAATTACATTTTATCTATTCCTCAGACTATATTTTCTCTGTGCCATATTGCATCTGGAATATTTGGTCAAGTTTGCATCACCACAATTCAAGAAGGAGGCTGAGAAACTGGAAAGACTCCAGAGAAGAAAGAGCAACAAAGGTGATGAGAGGCTTGGAAATTAAGTCCTAGAGCCATGGTGGTGCAGTGGTTAGAATGCAGTACTGCAGACTACTTCTGCTGACTGCT